CAGAAGTAGTCGAACTCGATGCGGTCGATCTTGGCGACGTTGCCGGAGCACGGGCCGAGCCCGAGGCCGGTGCCGGTGGTCAGAGACACTTTTTCGAGAAAGTTAAGCTTGTCGGCGGCGGCTTTCGCGAGGGCGTAGGCGGCGTCCCAAGTCAGCTGGGCGCGCACGGGGACGTGAATTGCGACGAGAGGTCGGTGTGCGCCGGGGCGCGCTGCGAGTGGGCGGCTGGCGCCGCGAGCACGAGGGCGAGCAACACCCGCGTGAGGTACTGCGAGAAAGCCATCGCGCAATTTTGAGAGGCCCAAGATAAGGAATCATTGCCATGCCCTTTATAGAGTTCTGTCGCATGGACGATTCAGCTCCGTACCGTCTGGCAAACGACGAACTTCGCCTGAAAGAGATGTAAGCTTATTCCGATGCTTATGCTGCCTGCGCATGCCATCCGCACGCAGGAATGTATTTCCCAAACGCGGCTAGACCGGTTGAATGAGGAAAGAAAGCCGACGCTCTCGCTTGCGCTCATTGGGGCGCGCACATGGGCGGCGACGGCGATCGACTGCATCCGCGTAGGGTGTACCTTATTTGCCGGGGTGTGGAAGCATGCATACATTTAACCGTGCCGGGCACTAGACTCCCATTGGACGCATTTCTTTTTTTGTCATCACTCGTATGTCGCCTTGTGGGCTATGACGAGATGAGTACACGCATTTGGAAGGTGGAGATCTTGGGTTGCGTGGGTAAAAACGTTCCTTTGCGCCGGGTCGTCAACGCCCTCTGGGAGCGTGTGCGGAGGTGGTGGGGCATAGGCGATGTGTCATTTTTGATATAGCATACAACGTATACGAGCGTTGTTGGAGGCAGCGACCGACGACCCACCGGTGGCGCTTCATTTCCTCGAAAAAAATCCGCTTTATTGGTTTGTTGATCGTATCACCGATAAAACTCAGCCCCTACTCTCAATGATGGACCAGACATGCAGTGGTGCAGTCTATGATCATCATCTCCTCGCCGTCATAGCAGCATTGTGTGGTTGGCGATCTAGTAAGGTAAAAGGTTACAGAGATGCGAATCATCGCATCATTGATACGAGCAGTGGTACATCACGCTTTGCTGTGCAGCTACATGCGCAGGGAGTGTGATCTTGCCAACTGAGATTTTTAAAACAAGTAGAGACCAGTCCCAATTACAGTTTCTCCGGCGCTGCTATTGTTGCTGGTGAGCGTCGCATAGCGTATGCTGAGATTGCTGCCATTTGGCGTGGGTTCAACAGGTCTGGAGTTATGCCAAGAATGGAACTTACCTACGCCGTCGCATGGCCTCCAAGGATGCAGGCAACCACAAGTACCATGGAGTAGCTATAGAATTGAGAGCACCAGTTCCATTCTCGAGTCGAGTTAGAGCAGATTGTAGTCTGGTATGTCCTTAAGATAGACTATCATGCTGCAGTTCCATATGGTTAAACTCTAGTGGGACAAAAACAATCCAGTTTAATTACTAGATTCTAACATTGGCCGTCCAAGCTTTCTACGCTTATGTTGCCTTTACAATGTCAGCATTATGGTGGATTCGATTTGCATCTGAGTCGATGGTATTGGTTCATTCAAGTGAGGATGTTGGCAATTCTGCCTCGATTAGGATCCATACTGTAACGGTAATGGTTTAGATTAAACGATGAGAGCCATGCAATTACCAGACCCATGCGCTGTTACGCGTCAGATGTTTTATTGCAGGGAATCTCTGACAATTACAGTCTACCCTTGCTATAACGAAAACCAAAAATCTGGCACTTTTTTTTCGTTATAGCAAGGTTTCGTTATAGAATATTGGGTGGCAAGATTAGTCATGTCCTTGGCAGCTGAATTTAGAAGCCCGAGTACCTGGCAACAGATTTTAACTTCGTGATTTTTCTCCTTATGGAAATAACTAGAGTAGGAAAAAAGGAGAGTACAAAATTGAGAGTACAGAAGTATTGATCAAGTACTATGCAGATGCAAAAATCAATCATGTTGTTGAAGCAAAATTACCTACAAATCCAAACCTCAAGTTACAAAAGCAGCAACTATGCAAAAAGAAGACTGAACAAAAAGAAACCCTAGACGCAGTTCGTTCACAAATGAATCCCGTACAATGCAAGCACACCCTTTTTCGTAGAATTGGGCCAAACTAACTAGGAGTTTCTGCCCTGCCATGGCGAACAGCTGCACGCGGGGTCACGTGACAAAAAAAAAAAAAAAAAATAGGAGTTTCTAGTTGTGTAATTGGGTGGTCCTTGATTAGTCATGCATTCCACTAGCCATTTTTCGTTATATCAAGAATAATTTGTATGTAGACAGAAATAACTATCACCCAATCTAATTTTCGTTTCATTATTTGGTGGATTTTCGTTATAGCAAGAGGTGTTTGAGTGCGAACGGAACAATGGCTCCGTGCGATTTCCGGTATAGCAAGGTTTTCGCTATAGCGAGTTTCTTTTAGCAAGGGTAGACTGTACGTTGTAGTCTCTAAGCCGTTGTGGTAACAGGATCTCGTAATGCAACAGCTCCTGTCAGAACTTGGATTTTGAATGACTATCTCACCAGTACTTTTACAGATTTTCTATCATGCAACGACTTGTCGTCGCTCTTGTTGAACTGTAGCACATACAGGACAAGAGTTTTAGTGGTGTCAGCTGCCATGCGCGAACCAGAATAATTCATTTGCTTACTAATTGCAACGTCTACTACTTACAGTGCGTTAGGCAAAAGTCTTCGGGACTATGCAGTAAAAGGAAAAACGAGACGTGCATTGTTAGCTCCTTGCACCTTGTTCGAAAAATCACTTCAAAAAAAAAAAACAATGAAGTATGTAGCTATAAAAATTGCAAAAAAAAAAAAAAAAAAAAAAAAAAACAGACCACATGATTGGGCACTAGAGAATCTAAAATCCTTTCTCAGAATTTAAGAAGGAATACTCTCGGTTAAGTTGTGTTTTCTCAAGGGGGTCCTCTCCAATGCGTCTCGTGACTGCAACGATTGGTAAACGCTTTTCCTTATACTACATAGTACCTGAAGACTAGCACGCACAATTGACTTGCGGAGGTTGGAATGGGCAACTCCCATGACAACACCCCAATTCCATCAGTTGTCGGGAGTGATGTAATAGCGACATATGCAGCTACGAGAGCCTTATAAAATGCACGCTGTGCATCTACTTTAGTACTCTGTACCATGCGTATGCACTTTAGATATTGAATATATTTCGCATTAATTGAAGGATGCCGTTTCAGGAAACATTAGTGCCAACGTTTTCTTGGTATTTCGTTATTATGCTATTTTCGGAGGATATGCACAGCCATGGCACGCAGCATAGCAAGATGAACTGATCACTATGCTAAGTGCCCACTTAACAAGTGCCTCTTCCTCACTCTTAGTAAGGAGCTGCTGTTTTCTCGCGAGCTTCGCCACGGCTTCTCTGCACTCCTTGTAACCTGCCACTCAATGTACGGAATTGACAAAAAAATATTTCGCTACCTTCGCAATACTGTGCTCTGGATGCTTCCGTTTCCATGCCATCACACGATTTAGACCCTGAGGCAGCTTGTCCTTCCTGATGCGCGTCATTTGAGTATGGTTGCTTCTTAATATCTTCAATATTGGTAGTGAGATATAGTGGAATTAGCAGGGGAACGGGGGGCCCCCAGCGTTACCGATGTGCACATCGTTACCCGTACAGTACTGGTAATGGACTACACTATACTTTTGGAACAAATGAAAGTGTCAAATGTGAGGAAGAATCCTTTTTTAATATACCCCGCAAAAAAAGCAAAAACCTTTGAAATACCCATCATATCATTAAAATAGTAACAACACCATCTTGGCATGGTTTTCTAAGAGCAGCGATATATGCGTGTTCAGCAAGTGCGTCAGGTTCTAAGATACTGGCAATATACCTCTTTTTTTTTAGCGTGTTCGACATTTTTTTTTTTTTTTTTAAATATCAGTACTCGCATGCCGCCCTGAGGGCTATGGCGAGAAGTGTTCGACATAATGCCACTCGGTTAGTGGTAAGCAGTTGAGCAGAAACATGGGACAGAGCAACGAGAGTAGTAAGCACGAGTAGGAGTGGTAACAGCTGGAGTAGTTAGTAGTACCTGCAGCAGTGAAGCTGGAGTTGAACAGCAATAAGCTGAATATGATAGTAGGAATGAGCCAAATACCTAGGGGCATAGCGCCAAATTTTGTTGTGGTTGTTAGATATCAGGCGTTGGATTTGTGCAGTTTTGTTGTAAAGCGTGCACCAATATGTCACATTGTGGTGAAAGACAGTAACTCCATCTCTTTGCAACAGATCGCATCCCTTTGCTCCGAAGTATTAACAGGCCTTCGGGATGCTCGGTATCTCCCTCACAGCAGCTCACCAAGTTAAACAGGCCTAGTGGTCGCGAGACAAACATCTAGACCCAGCAAGAATTGTCATATGCTGGTCCTCATCATCAATGTTTTCCTCCTGTAACCTCACTTCTTACTCACTTAGACCTACTGCAATCACCCTGTACACCAGCTTGTGCACCAGACTAGCGTGGACATCAGCCACATCAGTTTGCGAACCGTTCAGGAGGTTGATAGAGAATTGTGAGTGGCTTAAACAACCTGATTGTGGTAGGAAGTGACGAATTTTGGTCAATGAGGTAACAGTGCAATTCCACTGAGAGGCATGGCATATAAGTCATGCGATTGTCCCCGATACCTCTAACGGCACTTGCACTAGGATCGCGGGCACAGCGAGGGCGATGGTTTGTGTTACTCAGAGTCCGAAAAAAAAAGATCTGCGATTCCGCCGCATAGCTATAATACAAGAGGTAAAAAATCAAAAGCTATTCTGGAAAAGTTGCGCTTGTTCAAAAAATTTCTGACTTTTGATGAGATGATTGGAATTGGACTGGCCATAGCTGGGAAAATACTTGTGGCTGATTTCGTGCACAAATTCACAGGGACACCATCACGCGCACGAACAAAAGGTAAAGCCCGATGCGAGGCTCGAACTCGCGACCTTGAGATCACCTATGGCCTTTATTCCTGTTGAACTAAATGACAGGAATGTGTCTGGGATATAAGAGTCACACGCTCTACCGACTGAGCCAACCGGGCTTTTGCACACCCATCTAAAAACAACGGGAATAGAAGACGGCAAGGCTGATCGCAAAAACACTATCTACTAATTGTTACTGGACTAATCAAAATATCTTCTTCCTTGCCCTGCAGCCGGTGCACCTACCGCAAGTTAGAGAATACCGCAGTAGTGACGCAGGAGACATTCTACAGCATACTCGCGATATAAGTGTATTCTTTCAGCTGGTCCCCACACATTCTTAATCAAGAACCTTCTTGTAACAAAACAGCTTGGCGGCCCACATACTAGATCTATTCCATTAACTGGCAAATTACATACTGTACCTAAAACTTAGCTAGGGATCTTGTCTTATATATAAGCTTTCTCTATAAGTGCTTCAAGTATTATATCTTCTGTAACCTTTAATACATGTACTTAGGATGGGTGATAAGGTTTGGGGATTTTTAGGCGAGAGGTTTCTGCCGTGTAGATTTAACTCTTCTTCTTTTTATATAGCACAACATCGCCATAGCCCTTAGGGCGGCATGCGATAAATGATATAAAAAAAAAAAAAAAAAAAAAAAAAAATCTGTAACCTTTAGTACATTTAGGATAACCTTTATACTTAATACAATATATATTGTAAGATTTTAGAACAATTTACTTCTGGTGAGCTTGTCTTTTATTTTCGAAAGATCTCCTAACCTCTGTATTAATGTATCTAGTTTTGTTCAGGTTTGCTAGGTCAGTATATAATTTTGAAGTTGAGTTAAGAGAGAAATTTACTCTAAGAAGCTTGTTAGTAGTTGAGTAGCTTAGTTGATATAAAGTGTCACGGCCCGCGCCCTACAGCCTCCGCACACTAAGCCACGGCCGCCTCCCGCCAACAGCCGGCAAGCTCATAGAACTGGCTAGCTATAGGTAGCTAGCAAGATGCCAGTATAGCCCGCCTGCCAGTATAGCCCGCCTGCCAGTATAGCCCGCCTGCCAGCCTGCCCGCTAAAGTAGTGAGTGCTATAGTGCTTTCGTCACCCTGCTCTTGCTGCTGCCCTCGTAGCTGCTTCTACCTTTGTATTATGTTTCTTAGCTAATGAGCCTATCATGTATATAAAGGCCCCATCTGGTCCTCATGTAAATAGTTCTTTCTCTCCTTGTCTGTTGTCTTGTCTTCTTAATAGACCCATATGGTTCCTCGCAGTCCATATTTTCTTGTTATTCTTGTCAATCTCTAGATCTAATTTAGTACCTGATCTTTGCCTTTTCACCATAGCCTACCATCGCCGTTGAACCGGAACCGCTGAACCGCTACCTGCGAGCCTCTCCTGTCAGGTTCTCGCCATAGCCCCTAGGGCGGCATGCGAGTAATGATATAAAAAAAAATAAAAAAAAATCTCCTGTCAGGTTTGTCAAGCCTCTGCCGTTCAGCGCTTGCAACACTTTCGTTACCCTGAACTGGTCGTATCCCTTAGCAGCACCCGCCCGCCGCCGCGCGTAAGATAAAGTATTCAAGATTACAGTAGTCAAATAGAACTTAAATAGGATGTAGTGAAGACTCTAATTCCGGATGCCAAGTCTTAAAGCAGCAAACAATTGCTATTAATTCCTTATTATAGATCTTATTGTTGCATTCTGCTGGTATATACTTCTTAGAAAAGAATGTTATAGGATGTAAGATCTCTTTATTATTATATTAGCTTATAATACTAGCAGAAATATAACTAAAAGTATCTATTTCAATAATCATTAGTCTCTTAAAGTTAAAGTAAATAAGTATTAGTACTAAGGTAAAGGCCTTTCTTAGGTATTATTATATATAGTATTCCATGTAAAAGAGGTATTCGTCTATATAAGTTTGACTATAGAAGATACAATATGAGAGTAGTCTTGTCATGACGGTATGACATGGCGGTATGCGAGCGTACCCAGAGCAGGGCTAAAATGCAGTGAGCTACGAGGTCATGTGACCGGCCCACCCCTGCTATGCCTGAAGACCTGGCGCGAACCGGTACCAAGAGCCCGTATGCATGGATACTCCTATATATCCCGACCGTACTACCAGGGGTCACCGGTAGTTCTACCTTTTGGTGCAACGGTTTGCAAGACGGTCGGTTGCAACCCGTAACAAGTCTTTAATAAAATAGTAGTAGAAGTTAGTAAATTTTAAAAAGGTATAAATATTATAAAGGTTTCTTAGAACTTTCTATTCTAAAATACAATCAACCTTAGTTAAATCTATTCAAATTTATAAGAGATAATTATACTCAGATACCTAATAGAGATTTTATAAAATTCATATTTCTCAAGTTTCTAGTTCTTCTCTCCTATGGTTTAGTTCTTTATTCCTGTCTTCAGTTCATCTTTGCTTTCGCTTATTCATTACGTAGCTTGCCTTTATGTTCTTACTGATCACCTTCTACTATATTTAATACATACAAACGTCAATTGTTCTTATCTTGCTTGTACATTCGCATGGATAAGGTAGCACGTGGAGATAAGGGTCGTACGTGAGGCGATATCATATATATAGACTTTCTGTACTGTAGCCCATACAATCAACAACCTTCTTCTCTTCTCTTCTCTTCGCACTCGCACTCGTATTTGATAGTACATTCGTTCCGCCAGTTCTCACCGCTCCGGTCCATCGCAAGGCAGGAGTGGATACTATCTGTCTATCTTACAGCACCACACAGTACAGCCCGAAATATCGCTTTGAGGCGAATGCCCAGTGACCCCCCAGCAGAGGACCCAGGGCTGGTGAGCCATGGTCGGCTGTACCCCCTGAGAAGCTCATAACACACATCAGCTGAGCCCACGGACAGCAAGACGGACGTTGACCAACGGGACCACATCGATCCACAGGAGGTTTCAACACAGCAGGAGATGAAGAGACCTCAGGATCGAACCAATAGGACTCAGTCAGGGACCTGCAGTGGCCTGCCAATCACCCGGCCTCACATCATAGCACCACACGCCGCCACCACACGGCCACCACCCACTTCAGACTAACTGGGCCGAACCCCCAACCAGCCTGCTCAAGCACAGGCAACGCCCAAACCACACTTCGACCAGAACCTCGGGCCGACCGATGGTCCAAGCGCAGCTACACGTCAGAATGGACAACATGGTAGGAACTAAGGAGAGAATGGCGAAGGCGAGAGTAAGGAAAGCGAAAGGGGAAGAGAAGGAGATTCAGTGTCAGCCCTCTATGGGATGGAAACAAAGCGACACAGTAGCCTAAGCAGGGGAAGACAGATGATACAGGCTGGAAACGTTCAGCGACCATGTGGAAGAAGTGTTATGGTTTCTACGATGATGTAGTGAATAGAGGGTGTAACTCAGGTCAACGCTTGGTGCTTGACCTTCGAGAGGGCAGCTCCTGCTAGCCCTTCTTATAGTCAACCCTGCGTGCTTGCTGTATATTGCCATTGCTATCAAGTATCTATGCTACCTTAACAGACCTCCAGCAGCTTCAGCAGTTCACGTAACTCTGTCAATAGCTATATCCATAGCTCCGGCCCTGACTGTTTCTCCGATGTGTGGCTGTTCCTCCGGAAACTCCGGTCCGTGCCCGAGGCACTGTCTTACTGTACAGACCATGCCGGCGTTCCTTGTGATACACATCCGTGCCCAACCCATATTTCATTGCCACACTGTAGCTATCAGTTGATCAGGCCGAATCGTCACTAGCAGCTTTACAGGTCAATGTGGGTGGATTTCCCCTTCGCGGGTAGACCCTGACATTTGGTACCCGTATCAGACTGAGAGTACAGGAGTATGAAACAAGATTTTCATGAAAGAGAAGGTATACTCTTATGAATGCAGTGTGTCTTTTGGAGTAAAAGAGCATTGAGTGCACAGCAGTTGCCCATGCAAGGCAAGAACCTTGGCTAGGAATGTCCGGCACGTGATGAGAGTCATTGGTTTTTTTTTGTATGCAGGGATGAGGAAACTTCCTGGTGCATCTTGTTAGTTGAAGGATGTAGTTGATCTTGCCGCCGCTGATAAGGAGTTGGTAGATGTCCATCAGGACAACAGCAATCACTCAAGAAGCTTGGTTTGCTTCTGCTATCTCGACCACATTGAGGCGACTTGTGGCCCGGTTGATACGGTATTGACGATAGGCTACCAAGCAGCGTTCTTGTTCGGGTAGCAGGTCTTGATTACCACGTTGTGAATGGTTTTGATGTTCTGGACGCCAATAACCTGGGCAAGTTACCAATGGTCTCTGGTCTGGAACATCGACGTGCCGCAATAGGGCCTTGCACAGCGTGTTTCACCCCTGGAGTCAGTTCAGATGATGATTATTTTCACCTATGGAACAACGTATGAGGGGGGATGCATTCTCGGCGGCTGGTGGGATGAGAAGCCAAAATGTCCTGGAAAATAGAGAAATTTAGTTTGATGAGAGTATTCACCAGAGGAAAGGAAAGCATGCCTTGAGAATTGCAGGGATGCAACCATTCTCTGGTTTCATTCCCAGAATGATCTGGTATTACGGTCCACAAATTGCGGTCACACTAGGGGTACACCACTATCAGAATGGTTCGAACCTCCAACGTCCACTTTGGATTCTGTAAAAAGTAGGTGCCTCCGCTTGTGTCTAGAGCATAATGGCCTCGATGACGAAGATGCACTTCCCCGTGTGTGAAAGGGGTGAAGTAGGCATCCTGACACTGACACTGACAGACGCAGCTTTACCGTGCGCTACTAGACGCAACCTGTCATTATCGTCAGAATTTAGGGATATCTCGGTCCTCCCGGCGGTAAGCCGTCGTCACGATTGTGTGAATATGGCGACATCGGCTGAGATTTGTTGATTATAGCACTTCCAGTTTTTTTTTTTTTTTTTTTTTTTTATATATCACGTGACCCCGCTTGCAGCTGTTCGCCATGGCAGGGCAGCACTTCCGGTTGGGCGTTCGCATAGTGCGTGAACTGCTAGCTACGAGTATGCCGGAAGGGGTCTGCATATTCACAGGCCAGGGAGGTAGCGAAAGGTTGGTGGGATGCAATGCAGTGTCTGTGCTGTGGGGCATGG